TTTACACGATGACGACAGCGCTGGGGTTTTGAAGCAGATTTTGTAGCCTACATTACAAAGATGGATGCCGCCGTCGAACATCACTCGTTCCAATCAGCTATCGCGTCTGTTTTAAGAGATTTGAACGTTTCCTTTTAGTTAAAAACCGAGCAAAGAACAACACTCGGAGATGTTTCTCCGCCACTCTGCATACGTCATCTCCTTCATCGCTCTGATTGGGTTTAGGTCTATCCGCGACGTCCGTTGGTGACGCCCCTCTGGAAATGATTTGTCTATGACGCTTTGCCAGACAGTTACACCTGAGAATGGTCTGGTTTTAACCAGGCTAAGAATCCTCTGATCCTATAGGCTAAAATCTGAAGTCGTTAGATTGACGTGTTCACAGACGAAATTCTGTCAGTCAGAAGATTTGACTTCTCTTACAACGACCGTCAAATTGTCTTCGATTTTCAAGACAAGCCGTGACCAAAATTAACGTTAGCGGTTTCTCTGTAGTCACCGTTTCAGTCCCGCGTGTAACGCAGACCACATCACTGAACTGGTCATTGATTGATTGATATTCGTCTGAAATAAGTATTTTCAGCTTCAGAATCATGAATATTGTTATTCTGGAGTCTCTATTGTCCTGTGCTTTGGGTTTCAGCACCAAGTCCAAGACTATTCATTTACACACACAATGTGACACCAAATTGAATTTACCACATGTCTTGGAGTATCGCAATAATATGGTATCGAGAGTTCAGTATCGTGATGTGTGTCGAACCGTGACGTCAGGGTATCGTTACACCATCGTTCTCGCGTTTAGGTGACTCCCTAGTTATTTTTTGTTATTGACGTTTTAATCCGGCTACTTGTCCGATCGGGAAAAGTAAAATTCTCTTTCCCTTGTCCCGGACACAATGTCTGATCGTAATGTGAAACGCGTGCCGAGACGAAGAGACCTGTATCTCCGTGGTGTTTTTCTTGTTCGGCCGGTATCCGTAATATTCCTCCTGTCGCTTCATGAACTTCCGGAAGTGGTCCTGGATCAGGAATGTGGCGTAAAACTTCCCCACGGTCACCTCGTCATCTGTGGTTTAAGAAGCAAACGTTTAATCCTTAGGTTGCGTTCGGTTCAGTTTTGCCCCGGAGAGGATTCTCCTTTTCCTGGAAATGCTAGTTCATGTTATTGCATTGGACTGAACCTTACTGAAGTAACAACTTCCCAAACATGTGTTTCCCCCAACTTGTTACACTTGTGGAGTTCCGGGTCAAAAATGTCCCATCTTTTAAATCGCTATGTTATAATATCACCAAATATTGGATTCAGCCTTTTTGTCAACTTGTTTTCTCTTAATTTGCACAGGTTTTGTATTTCTTTGTGGATCTGATTGATCGTGGGCCTCTTTGATTTGACCTCATGTTCCTCAGTTTTTTTAAGTGAACAAGCTTGAATTACCTTTTTTTCACTCAAAAAATGAGGATCAATGAGGCCTACGATCAATCAGATCCAAACCTGTGCTGATTGAAAGGAAACAAGTTAACAAAAAGACAACCCAATATTTGATGATGATATTCTTTAGCATAATGAGAGATTCACAGGCAATTTAAAAGGCGGGTCATTTTTGACCCGGAACGAGTTTTAATAATGCTGATATTATTGCAGTTTATTATTCAGTATAGTCGAGAGATCTGACCTCCGATTGCCGGGATGACCTGGTCTAGCAGTTTCATACTGGTGCGTTTCCAGATCTTCTTAATAATCGCACGCAGCTCCTCATTTGCCTGCTCAAAATTACCTGACGAATGGAAAAATCAGAGAATTCAGGCTTTAATAGGTGAGTACTGACATTATTTACATACATTTATTTAAAATATTCACTGAAAACCGTTCAGTGTTGGATTTACTTTGAAACAATTTTCACTCAGGAAATTCTTTAGGAAAATTCTAGGAAAAATGTCAATTGATACTTTAAATTAAATGTGAAATGTTGAAGTAAAAAGACTAAAATAGTATTTTCTAAAGACTAAAAATTTTAAATAACGCCACAACCTTCGGTTTTGATTTTCAGTGCCGTCCTGACCAGAGCGAACAGCGTGGCGTTAAACGTTACCGTTCCGTCGCTGTTCAGAGGCATGTTCATGGAAATCAGCCTCTGGAAACAAACATAGAAATATGTAAAGATGCTTGGGCCAGCAGTTTATGAATTAGGGATGCACCGATATGAACATTTTGGCCGATACCGATAACCGATATTTTTTATATTTGAAAGCCGATAACCGATAATTTTTATATTTGAAAGCCGATAACCGATATATTGGTTGATAAATCTAAATTTTTATATAAGTTTTGAGAGCCTGATTACACAAACAAAAGTCTCACTATTAAAATCCATGTCCCACGCACACAATTATAATGTTCACTTCTCATTATAATGTTATGTAGCTGATATGAAAGACTTGTGTTGCACTGAACCGTATTTTTGAAGTGATTCCAATCATATTCAAGCAATTTAAAACCATCATGTTGAACAGTGCGCATCTGAAGGAAATAATATGTTATTTATCAGCTTTAATATATCGGTCAAATGTTCTTATCGGGCCGATAACGTTAAAAATGAACGTATATCGGCAGATACCGATATGGTGGCCGATATATTGTATGAATGTGTTTATCTCACTTTGCAAGCAACACGATGGGGACAGAACTTGCCGAAGCCAAGCGGCGGCTGTATTCTCCTCAGCAGCGTCACCACGTCCAGGTGCTTAATGCGCCCCCTGCCAGAATAACACAGGAATTACACCGATAATCACATGTGCGTCATTCAAAATCAACCTGAAATCAGAAATTATTGTGACTTTGTCATTCAAAATCAACCTGAAATCAGAAATTATTGTGACTTTGTCATTCAAAATCAACCTGAAATCAGAAATTATTGTGACTTTGTCATTCAAAATCAACCTGAAATCAGAAATTATTGTGACTTTCATCTTCGCACATAATATTTAAATTAGTGCCGCCTTTTTGGATGACGTCACCAATCCGTTTGACTTTTTCCCCATCAATAAAATCAAGTTTTCTACATTTATATCTCTCATTGAATATCCTTTTGAAAAGCATCTCGGGTCTCATTTATAAATCTGAGCGTAGGATCCTTACTAAAAGTGTACGTGTGCCTGAAAGCCAACAAATATTCAGAGTTATAAAAGCGTGTGTACGCCAGAACCTGCGCTAAATCCCCTTTATAAACCCAGTCAGAGGAAGATTGTGAACATGCATCTCCTCCCCGAAATAACCATATATGAGTTTACAACGCCTCGTTTACTATGCAGATCCTCATTTGCATATGCATATTCATCCACGTGATGCCATGTTTAACGGTACGAGACATTAGGAGAATATGAGATACGGATGTGCGTCACATTACTACATAACAATCATTTAGTAGCCGATCCTTGCCTTGTATTTGAATAAATCAATCAAATAGTATAAAATACATTTCAGAGAAAGTTTTTCTCAATCTTTTCCACCAGCCAAATTTAATTGCTTTATATTTTTAATGGAAACAGATAGGCCTTATTGTGCATTATTGATAATTTTTTGCGACTTTTTTTTTGCTAACTGATATTTTCTCAGATCATGATTATTGCTATTATCAAGCGCTAAGCAAACATTAAAACACAGCATGCCTCAGGAAAAGTGTTCAGAAGCAGCGCATCCACTACTAATATTTCTATTCATTAGAATATTAAAAAATGTTGTAACTCTCTAATGATTATGTAATTTAAGTGCTTAACTCCATTAATGAGAATGGCATGTTTTATCTAAATGTGTGTATGTAACGGTTATAAATGAGTTTTTTTTTTTTATATTATATATATAATTTTTATTTATAAGTAAAATGTGTTGCAAATGGCATTTCATGTTGATATTAAAGTCGGCATTTGCGCTATTCTTTTCTTCTCAAGGACAAATGTGGGCGGGGCTTGATTGTGTCCGTGGGGAGTTGATTGGACGGTTGCGGTTTGCTATTGGTGGATCTCCTGTGAGTGACAGGTTGCCCCGCCCACATCATCAGAGGGAGGGAAGTTATTTTGATTCAAGATTACGAGGAACATGAATTTAAAACAATGATATGCCCCCATAAATCATTTATAATAGCACTTTGATTTCATGGTGACTAATGCTTTGCTTACGTCGCCTCAGGGTCGTATTCAGCCCAGATCTTCTTAAACTCGTCTAGATGATGCGGCCCCAGTATCGACCAATCACGCGTCAGATAGTCAAAGTTGTCCATGATCACGGCCACAAACAGATTAATGATCTGCGATGGAAAACATTCAGTGTAATTAACGCGTGTGTCTATGCATGTACAGTCAAACCCAAATGTATTCAGACAACTTCAACATTTCTCACATTATCACAATTTATTCGCTGTAGTTTAGAAAATGGTAATAAAATATATTTGATATTTTATTACGGACAAAAACCGGATATTTGACTGGTTTTGTCCGTCCTTCTGTTAGACTCTCACACATGAATTATGTTGAATATCTGTCAGCTGTTAAATTTAACTACACAATTAGATAATACCAGTTTAGCTCAACCAGTGACCAAGCAATGCTTCATGTTGTTCAGTGTGTGTGTAAAAAGAGCATTAGCAATTACAGAAAACACACTTCAGCAAAACATGGTCAGCTCAAAGTGGAGGAATCATTTCTGGTTTATAAACGTTACTGGTAGTCTCTGTATGAAGAATATCTGGGTATAATATGTCAGTTTACTTTATTTTGCTCTCCTGACTTACATAAATGAACTTTAGTGTCCTGCACACACTAGTAAAACAATATAAAAAATTATATCTGGTGTCTGAATAATGTTTGGTTTGACTGTACACGTGTGTGTGTGTGTGTGTGTGTGTGTACTCACTAGAAAAGCGCAGAGCATGTAAAAGCTCATGAAGTACAGAACAGCGAACCCAGAGCCGCATGTGAACTCTTCTCCAGGGAGGTAGTCTGACTTTGGGTCACAGCGCTGACCGTACAAACAACCCAACATGATCTCCTGCCAGCCCTCGCCTGTGGCACACCTGTGGACAGGTGTGTGTCTTTACACACATGCTCATAAAACACACACACACACACACACACACACACACAGCGAGGCCTCACTGTTACTACCTGAATAGCACTAGAACGGCTTGAGGAAACGTCTGGAAGTTGTTGTTACGGTTGATCACCGTACCGTCTAGTAATGCGATTTTGCCAAAGACCTGATAAAGGAAAGTCACATCATCATTAGTGTGAAGCTGAATGTACAGTTCTGAATATTTTTGACTTTTTATCAAAAACTTATAATCTTCGTTATTCCAAACTTTTGACTGGCAGTGTATCGCGAGCCGCGTTTCTAATGCTCTTCAAATTGCGCAATTTGCGAATTAAAAATACGCACCAAGGAAACACGTCAATTTCGTATGGAACCGCCCTGAACCGCAACAGGGGAAAAAATTACGAGAATAAAGTCGAAATATTTTGAGACTAAAGTAAATGGTAATGCCATGTTGGTAGATTAGCACCTGTAGAGTTTCCTTTTGTTGAAAGCCCAGATAAAAGTTAAAAGCTACTTTTATGTTTAGATCCATGTCCGAGGCAGTTTGACTTCACGAGCGCATAAAAAAAAAAAATTCTTGTAATTTTGACTTTATTCTTACAATATTACGACTTTATTCCCGTAATGTTTCGACTTTAATCACAAAAGATTTCGACTTTATTCTCTTAAACGTTGTGGTTCAGGGCTTCCGTAATTTCACAAAAAGAAATTTGCCATTAATGCTCGGAAAACACACCAACGTCTCCTACCGTTAATAATAATGGCTAGTGCGGTGGCTGGGATATAAGTAAATAAGATTGTTGGAATGACTGATCGCGAGAGGAAAACATTTTTTAGTTGCATAACATCAGTTAATGGAAACAGCGTCATTTCGCAAGAGTTTTTTATCGACATTTAGACAATATTGCAAAAGATTTGCGCAAATCTGTAATGGAAACGTCATTTCGCAAGAGTTTTTTAACGACATTTAGAAAATATCGCAAAAGATTTGCGCAAATTTGTAATGAAAACGTCATTTCGCAAGAGTTTTTATTGACATTTAGAAAATATTGCAAAAGATTTGCCCAAATCTGTAATGGAAACATCATTTCGCAAGAGTTTTTTAACGACATTTAGAAAATATCGCAAAAGATTTGCGCAAATCTGTAATGGAAACATCATTTCGCAAGAGTTTTTTAACGACATTTAGAAAATATCGCAAAAGATTTGCGCAAATTTGTAATGGAAACGTCATTTCGCAAGAGTTTTTTATAGACATTTAGAAAATATCGCAAAAGCATTGCGCAAATCTGTAATGGAAGCGCGGCTACACTCGTCGTGCGTGTTGTACCTGCATGCCGATGACGGCGTAGATGAAGAACAGCATAACGATGAGGAGAGCCACATATGGTAAAGCCTGAAAACACACACCAACACCCTCGTTACACACATCTGTGTTACAACACATACCTGTAGCAGAGTATAACTAATATGTATTCTGTGCACATTTATTTGATGTGATGCTTTTATGTACGTGACTCTTGTTAATTGCCCCTTAGGGACAAACAACTTGTTTTGAAATGTAAATAGTGACGCAGCGGACCATCAGACCATCAGACCTGGAATGATTTGATGAAGGTCCACAGCAGGTTTCGGATCCCCTCGAAGCGGTTGAGCAGTTTTACCAAACGCATGACGCGGAAAAGCCGGAACAGTGTGATTGACACACTCATGTTCTCGGAGTCCTGAGGAACAAACGCAAACGCTCAGGAATCCACGGTTAACACCAGCTCATTTATGCACTGAATCTCCACTTACTGCTATGGCTTGCATTGGGTTCACTTCCTGGAACAAGAGAAAATGTATGGCAGGGATTTAACTTTGAATCATTTCACTTGCAAAATCAAAGTGTTGTTTAATTAACCCTTGTGCATCAGTTGAAAAATGTTACACACAGGTCCATAGAGGACAAAAATGTCTCAAAAACTCATACAAATTTGGTCTCATTTTAAAGAAGACCCTTGGCAGATTATTGTTGAAGTAAAAAAAGTTTAAAAAAGATATAGAGGTTTAAGTTTATGAAAATTATTTATGAACAATATTTATATAAAATATATATTTTATGAAACATGTCAAACTCTAAAACTGCTAGAAAATCAAAGTCATAAATCTAAACAATTTGTGTTCCAAATGTGAGGTTGATATCTCGAAAAACTAGCTTTCAGTGAGAGCGCAGTAACACACTTTCTCCAATAGATGGGACACACACGGATTGGATTTGGGATTTGCAGTAGTTTTTCTCTCTCAAATATTACAAGCACACACACTAACCACACTCTGACATTCATACCAACACACACACACACACACAATTACATCTGCATAATTTATCCAATTGGCTCAATAATATGCATAAGTAGAAAACAGGAATAAAGCGAGTATTTGCTTTATAGGTCAAACCTGAGAAAACGGCACATCTGGTAAAATATAGTGAAAGTTTAATTTTGAAGCCTTGCCAACACAATGAAAGCCTATTGACAAAGATTGCATAATTTTATTGTTAAATGGCCATGGCATTGGATTAAAAATTGCAGTTTCAATGGGGACCGTTTTGTCCTGAGAGGAACTATTGTGTGTTTCTAGTGCAAAATAGATTTATTAAAGGAAATGGGGGTGAAATATTAAAATTCCAATAAAAATACACACCTGTACCAAATTTTATGCAGTTAGCATTAACAAAGGCAAAATTATCAAAAAAACGAAACTGAGAAATGTCCATAAGGACGCACAAGGGTTAAACTTGCTGACATGAACTCATTAATAGAGTCATGGAGCGGATGTAAAATAACAGGAATTGGTATTTACAGAGCAGCCGGTGAGACAGTAGAGTCCGCCCTGAGCGGCGAGCGCCGTCTGGAGAGAGATAACCAGAGAAGAAGAGTCACAGCCAACGCCAGCGACACAACAGGTACAACTACACCGCACAACATGTGTCTGTCCCGTTTCCAGATATCCAAACATTCTCAAATCAAGAAGCATTTACTAGATGAGGAACATGCCATTATGTCTTGTTTTCTGGGGAATTAATCGAAATGAAGTGAGTTTTTCCTTAAAACAAGCTGCCAATGGGGTTAGAGAAATAATCTTGTTTCCGTTTGAATTAACATTATTTTTCTGACCCAATTGCAGATAATTTAGCTTGTTTTAAGCACAAACTCATTTCATTTTGATCCCCCCCCCCCCCAGAAAACAAGACATAATATCGTAAATCCATCTTGATTTAAGATTTTTTTGATATTTGGACTGGAACCAAGAAAGCTTTTTTGCAGTGTAACACTGGAACATATAGTCATAGCATTTAAGTTAAACTTACGTCAATTTCAGTCAGCATGACGTCAACAATACTGCCCACCACGATGATGAAGTCAAACACGTTCCAGGGGTCCCCGAAGTAGCCCTGCCCGAGAGAAGCACCTTTAAATATGGATCATATTTATGATCTACAACATGATCAAACACTTCTTACTACAGTCCTTCTGTCTGATTAATAGTTTCATCAAGTAAAGTATTTTAGTGTAATTGTACAAACGTCCTCCTTCAGCTCGAGCTTCACGTGTCTTTAAATCTGCACTGATTTTTATCAAGTAAATGTAAAAATAACTTTTATATTCTTGGTAATGTTTCAAATATCAAATATAAAAATCAAATATATGATCAGGCTTTCGAGGAAGGTTTATTAGTTCATCTCTCAATCATCCTTGTATTGCATCGCGTTACATGTTTTTAAAAACATAAGCATTTAAATATCATCTTACTTGGACATATTATTGGCAGATATTGATATTTATATGCATATTATGTAAGTATGTGCAATAGTGTTATAAAGATCTCATTGGTTTACATTACAAGCATCAGAAATTTCATCACTTTTTATCCATATAAATATCAGCATCTGCACCAAATTGCATATTTTTGTTCAGTTTAGTTTAGTATCTGAATAAAATGTTGCGTTTTTCCCCTCCATGTTCTAACTAGCGTACTATATGAGCCATAAACGCCTGATGTATCAAATATGATATTCAGCAAACACTTGACTAAATGGCTATTATTTCACGGTAGGCTCTACAGGGTTGACATAACTATAAAGTATGAATTAGTCGTTTTCTGGCAGTGTAAATGCAAGACTCACCTTAGCTTTGAAGGCGCCGAGTTTGAGTAGCATCTCCACCGTGAACAGAACCGTGAAGATGACATTCAGCATGTCTGAGAGATCGGTGATGTGGTCCGACTGGTTACAGTGCTGAACGATAAACATTCAATTCATTTATTTGTATAGCGCTTTTCACAACACACATGGTTTCAAAGCAGCTTTACAGAAAGTGCACGAGTCCACATTACAGGTTACAGTGATCTGCAAAATCACAGTTGGCGAAACATGTATTAATTTAAACAATGTAATGATTTAATGCAGAAATGAATACTTGTTTGCTAAGAAATGAGAGTAGATTCAAACTATGAAATGCATTTGATGTTCTAATCATTTATTCCCAATGTTTGCAGTCCTCGTGTAAAGGTGCTTGCACACAGACTCCAAAATTCTCCTCCGAAACTTTCGTCCATCATAAAAAAATCAGATCAGGTTCGATTCTCTGCGTTTTTAGCATCAAGCATTTGGAGAGGTGTTTTGACCATTCAGAGCCACAGAATGACGGATACGATACGGATACGAAAAACACTCAGTGTGCAAGGACCTTACAGGGACAGTTCACCCAGAAATGAAAATTAGCCCATTATTTACTCTCCCTCAAGCCATCCTAGGTGTATATGACACTCTTCTTTCAGACGAACACAATCAGAGTGATATTAAAAAATGTCCTGGCTCTTCCAAGCTTTATAATGGCAGTGAATGGGTGTATGTTTTTGGAAGTCCATCAAAGCACATCCATCCATGATAAAAGTGCATCTATCCATCATAAAAATGCATCTATCCATCATAAAAGTGCATCTATCCATCATAAAAATGCATCTATCCATCATACTAGTGCATCTATCCATCATAAAAGTGCATCTCTCCATCATAAAAGTGCATCTATCCATCATAAAAGTGCATCTGTCCATCATAAAAGTGCATCTATCCATCATAAAAGTGCATCTATCCATCATAAAAGTGCATCTGTCCATCATAAAAGTGCATCTGACCATCATAAAAGTGCATCTGTCCATCATAAAAGTGCATCTGTCCATCATAAAAGTGCATCTATCCATCATAAAAGTGCATCTATCCATCATAAAAGTGCATCTGTCCATCATAAAAGTGCATCTATCCATCATAAAAGTGCATCTGTCCATCATAAAAGTGCATCTGTCCATCATAAAAGTGCATCTATCCATCATAAAAGTGCATCTGTCCATCATAAAAGTGCATCTGTCCATCATAAAAGTGCATCTGTCCATCATAAAAGTGCATCTATCCATCATAAAAGTGCATCTATCCATCATAAAAGTGCATCTGTCCATCATAAAAGTGCATCTGTCCATCATAAAAGTGCATCTGTCCATCATAAAAGTGCATCTGTCCATCATAAAAGTGCATCTATCCATCATAAAAGTGCATCTGTCCATCATAAAAGTGCATCTATCCATCATAAAAGTGCATCTGTCCATCATAAAAGTGCATCTGTCCATCATAAAAGTGCATCTGTCCATCATAAAAGTGCATCTATCCATCATAAAAGTGCATCTGTCCATCATAAAAGTGCATCTGTCCATCATAAAAGTGCATCTATCCATCATAAAAGTGCATCTGTCCATCATAAAAGTGCATCTGTCCATCATAAAAGTGCATCTATCCATCATAAAAGTGCATAAAAGTGCATCTATCCATCATAAAAAGGCATAAAAGTGCATCTGTCCATCATAAAAGTGCATCTGTCCATCATAAAAGTGCATCTATCCATCATAAAAGTGCATCTCTCCATCATAAAAGTGCATCTATCCATCATAAAAGTGCATCTGTCCATCATAAAAGTGCATCTATCCATCATAAAAGTGCATCTGACCATCATAAAAGTGCATCTGTCCATCATAAAAGTGCATCTGACCATCATAAAAGTGCATCTGTCCATCATAAAAGTGCATCTGTCCATCATAAAAGTGCATCTGTCCATCATAAAAGTGCATCTGTCCATCATAAAAGTGCATCTGTCCATCATAAAAGTGCATCTACAGTCTCTGGTCGGTTAATAAAGGCCTTCTGAAGTGAAGCGATGTGTTCGTGTAAGAAAAATATCCATATTTAAAACTTTATTGACTAAAATAACAAGCTTCCGGTAGACGGTCGTACGCAAGTCGACTTACGCCACAAGAGCAACACTTGGCGGTGTGTGTCGTAGATGTAGGAGTAGCGTAAGCTCTGACGCCTCTCGCGGTTCAAACACACAGCGCTGGGCAACGTCGTTATGTCGTGCGTCGGGTCAAGTGTTTCTCTCGTGGCGTAAGTTGACTTGCGTACGGCCGTCTGCCAGAAGCTCGTTATTTTAGTCGATAAAGTTTTAAATATGGATATTTTTCTTACACGAACGCATCACTTCACTTCAGAAGGACTTTATTAACCGACCAGAGACGCGTCGAGCACTTTAATCATGAATAGATGCACTTTTAATGATGGACTTCCAAATAAATATACCCATTCACTGCCATTATAGAGCTTGGAAGAGCCAGGACATTTTGTAATATAACTCTGATTGTGTTCGTCTGAGAGAAGAGTGTCATATACACCTAGGATGGCTTGAGGGAGAGTAAATCATGGGCTAATCTTCATCTCTGGGTGAACTGTCCCTTTAACTCAGTGGTTGTGTGTACTCGCCTGCATCCCCAGACACATGGTGTTGAGCATGATGAGGAGGAACATCAGGTACTCGAAGTAGCACGAGGTGACGATGTACCACACCTGATACTGATACGGGTTCTTAGGGATGTAGCATCTCAGAGGCCGGGCCTTCAGCGCGTACTGGACACACTGGCGCTGGTGGCGGAAAGGAGCGTTAGAAGCTGGAATCGGGAGACATCAGTCGGTGTGTGTGAAGGTTAGCGGTGGAACGGATCACAAAATTCACGGTTCGGATCTTTTACGGTTTTTGAGCCACGGATTGGATAGTTTTTCCGATATATACCACAGGTGAAACTCGAAAAATTGGAATATGGTGCAAAAGTTAATTTATTTCAGTAATTCAACTTAAAAGGTGAAACTACTATATTATATAGACTCATTACATGGAAAGTGAGATATTTCAAGCCTTTATTTGTTATAATTTTGATGACTATGGCTTACAGCTTATGAAAACCTTTTCACGATATTCTAATTTTTCGAGATTCACCTGTATATATATATATATATGTATATATGGGGGGGGGGGGTAACTTTGCTTTTCATTTATTACTTAAAGCTCACTTCAAGTTCTTCGATACTACATCAAAACCTACTGGCCTAACTGATGAAGATCACACATTATTAAACACAAGTGAACAGTCAGTAATAAAATAAGCAGAGATGAATATTAAATAACAGTTACAGTCTACAGACATTAATAATTTAGCCTAAATGTAAAATAACACTATTTGTTCACTGTAGAAATGTAATATAGTTTCATCTGTTAAAGCTGTATTGTGATGTTTTCTGAACATTAATGACAGCAGGAATATGAGGCTGCCGTCACTTTAAGAGCGACTGACACACATCCGGTGTCTTCCTGTTCACTGATGACAGGGCCGAGAGAACTCTTGCCGAGACGAGTGTGTAAACGGGTGTTTAGACATTATTGTGTGTTTATGTGTGCGTTCAAGCTCAAGGAAACGAAAGAGGAATCAGTTCGGTGTTCGCCGGTGCGCACAGATATCGCGCGGGTCTCGATCTCGCCTCTTCTTCTGCGGTTAAAATGGTTTGAATGTGTAAATTGGCAAGACAAAACACGTCCAAATGATAAACTTTCACTCTATGATGGTTAAACTTAGCAGTTAATCCGGGAATCGCACGCGAGCCGAACCGCGTGGAGCCGATCTGTACAGATCACGATCCGTTCCACCCCTAGTTGACAAGATTAATCCCTCAGGTGCCGGAACAAGGATACTCAATGGTATCAAGGCAATTCATTGGTGCCTAAACAGTGCCGAACTCACCGTTAAACTCCTCGTACCTGGTTTTTGTCCAGCTCGCAGTTTTTGAACTCCTGCTCTCCCTGTTCCTGGAAGGTGACGATAACGAAGCCCACGAAGATGTTCATCATGAAGAAGGCGATGAGGATGAGGTAAACAATGAAGAAGATGGAAATCTCAATGTGGTTGTTGTAAATAGGGCCGACGTTTTCCAGGTTCGAGTCGATGGCTTTATACAACAAGCTGTGTAAAGATACAATTGGGAGAATGGGTTTGCGCTGTATAGACAACCAGGGGCGTCAGTTTGTGTTGAAAAGTGGTGGGGACAAAAGATCAGATGAAAAAAACATACAACAATATAAAAAAAAAACAATATCGGCGCGCGTTATTCGTCAGCGTTTTTCAACGCGTTTTTTTGTGTTCACACCCAAGCGATTTTCGCTGACGATGAGCCGAGTGAACATGCAAATTCATTCCCTGACATTAGATGGCGCCCATTTGCTCTGCAATACCACTCAATAACATTCTCTTTTATCAAGATTTTTGTAGTCGCTGTCGCGTTTGTCATATAGTTCTTCATGTTCCGACACCAACGAGACCAGCAGCTCTACATTCATCTGGCCTCGCATCTTCCTCGTCTTATTTCTCCTCGGCAGTGTAGACGCTACTTGGCGTATATCTTCTTCGCCGTTACGTGTGTGTGCTCGGCAAGACCGTTTTGTGTTTGAGCGCCCCCAAGTTGTGTTTTACTGTAACTTCAGAAGCTCCAGACACGTGAGCAAAAGCGCCAATCTCATTGGTCGGATAGTTTTTGACGCGGCGCGTCAAACTAAAAAAACGAACCCGAGGCGTTTTGTAAAAACGACGCTTTTATGCGTGGCGTTTTTCGCATCGGTGTGCACACTCACATTGGCGCCCCTTTGTTCAGTCACGAGGCGTTAAATGTCGGCGAATATCGTGCACGAAATTCGTCCCAGTGTGAACAGGCCTTAAAACCCTCAACAATGTCGACTGCACATGTAACAGTCCCTGCAACACCAGCTCAACCGAACAGTGCCAAAGCACCATACTACAGGCCTCGACATTAACGCTTGTCCGCTTGTCCGGGACAAGTGGATTTTTTGAAGGGACAAGTAAAAGAGAATTTTACTTGCCCAACCAGACAAGTAGCCTCCACAGGCTGCGTGCTCGTTTGTCCCCGGGGGACACCACACACGAGGAGAAATGGGGCCAAAAAAATCCAACATGTTGGACATCCCCGATTAAAGATCTGAGCGGTCCCGGCGTCCTTCCGAGCAGACGAGAGGAGTCTTAACACACCACACATGGCAGGAATATCTAATCAGATTATTTTATGATAATCGGAGCATCCTTAAAGGAGCACTTCACCCATTTCAACATTAATCTTTATTGAAAGTGGGTCATATATGTAGTCGAAATGTAAAAGAAATTTTGAATTTGGTGCCCTCTTGACCGAGAAAAGACAGAAAATAACTTTAGGGCGCATTTGTGTGTAAGACCACAACTCCCAGACTGCACCACGTTGCACAGCTCCGCAAGCCACTCCCACTAATCCAGAACAGCGCAAAGTCGCAAACATCAGAGAAATCACTCTTCCGTCTACTCTACAGGGCTAACGTTAGCTGCCACCAGAGTTAGAAATTCATTTCACACAAAATGTATAGTTAGTTGGCTGTGGCGAGCAGGACGAGGGACGTGAGAGCGGCGCGAGGCCGGTGGCGTGAGTGATAATGAACGACACCTGTGAGACGCACTGGTCTCTCTCGCGTCTCTCACCGAGGAGCGGACGCATAAAACGAGGAGCGACAGGGCAGATCGAGAGAGGAACAGGCCTGATTTTATGGTGTGTTTTGTTTCTGTTGTGTGTGGCCAGCAGTGCGGGGCTGCTGGCTTATACTTTTGTTTTGTATTTGTTTATTTTACTATTAAAATGTTTAAATGTTCGTCGATTCCCGTCTCATTCTTCCCACAACAACGAACCCGACGCAGCCGACGCCGCCGCCTCTTGTTCCTCCATCAGCCTCAGCTGCTCTTCGCTATATTGCGGCTCGTATAAATAGCCACGAACATCAGTTTCGAGCAAAAGATTTTCAAAATCCTCCTCTTCCATATCGTGTGTCGTAAATTCAGGCATTATGGTAAATCTAACTCCTTGAGCGCTTGTTAGCTTAGCTTGCTGTCTTCCAAGCAAGATGGCGGATTAATAGTTTAGTTTCTTCAGGTTTAGTCCCACCCACTGATCTGTAATAGGCCGGTGGGGTGAGTGGGTCCCACGCCCTTGAATAATAATGAGCTAAAGGCTGTAGTTTTCTTAATATGCAATGAAATTTATCTTCCGTCCTATCGTGACGCAAAATGACGATATTTACGTCACGATAGGACGGAAGTAAAACACTTAAATCCTTTTTTCTCCCATCTCAGAAAAAAAACAAGCAAAATTCCACCATCATTATAATATATGACTGGGTTTCTAACAATACAAACCTTAATGCAAATGGGTGAAGTGACCCTTTAAGATTGTCGGAAGGGGTAAATCGGGGCTAAAATCGGCCTAATTATCCTGCCGTGTGAACCAGGCTTTACTGATCGGCGCATGCATGTTTTTGGGTCATTTTAGAATCAGTAATAGTTTATTTTGATTAAGTTACTTTTTTGGACAATGTACATTGTTTCTTTCTGTATCTAAACTGCACTGCATGTTTTATTTTGTGCAAATAAACCACATTTCTTGGTTCGCTTGATTTTTCAGAACATTTTAACCAAATCCTTTCAAAAAGTGGTGGGGACAAAATCAGCCATTTCAAAAAGTGGTGGGGACATGTCCCCAGCGTCCCCAGTGTAAATGACACCTATGTAGACAACAAACATGAAAGGAAGTTGTTCATTACAGGAGTAGTTCACCTCAGAATTAATTTCCTGATCATTTACTCGCCCCCACGTCATAATTTAAAAAAAACAACAACATTTATATACTATTTAACCACTAATGCTGGTCTTGCACGAGCTGTGATGCGACACACATTACGTGATCAGGCTGAAAGGTCAAGCGTGACGTAGGAGGAAGAAAAGACCCAGTGTTTACAAAGCCAACGTGCAAAGATTGAGTCAAACGGCATTTACAAATAAATAAAAGGTAAAACTAGTTTTTCGCCCTACTCTACATTTCTGAACCGGAACACGCTTGACCTTTCAACCTGATGACGTAATGTGTGTCGCATCACAGCTCGTGCAAGACCAGCATTAGTGGTTATAAAGTATATAAATGTGTATTTTGTTATAAATGTCGGCTGGTTTGTCTAGATCAGACTCTTATTCCTCGGCTGGATCGTGTCGAGACTTTGAAGCTGCACTGAAACTCACATCTGGACCTTCGACCCGTTGGACCATTGAAGTCACTATATGAAGAAAAACCTCAAAAACCTTAATTTCTTTTCGACTGAAGAAAGAAAGACATGAACATCTTGGATGACGTGGAGGAGAGTAAATTATCAGGAGATTTTAATTCTGAAGTGTCTAACTCCTTTAGAAATACCCACTCTGGCCAGCCTTCGAATGTGGAAATGGTGAAGAGAGCCAGCATGCCGTTCAGAATATTGTCGAAGTTTAAGTCGCTGTTCATCCACATGCGTGTCCGGAGCACCATGTCATGAAGAGCGTGTTCCTGGTGTTGAATAAACGTTCCCCTGAGAGCATCACCGAAAGAGAGAAGAATTATGTGGATTTGGAGAGTTTCAGATCTCGGAGTGAAGGAGAAATGAATGAAAGTTCAACCGTACTGGCATTCCTCCGCCGTC